CGTGTTGTGTGCATGTGAGGGGTGGGCTCTGCGCGGGGATTCCCGGCCCCCCACACTCACACCCACCAGGCCCCGGGAGGGGGCAGCAGCGGTGGCGGCGGCGCCCCCCGGCGGGAGCCGGTCCCTTTCCCGTCGGGGAGCGCGGGGCCGGGGCCCAGGGGACCCCGGACCACGGAGAGCGGGAAGAGGATGGACTGCCCGGCCCTCCCCCCCGGATGGAAGAAGGAGGAAGTGATCCGAAAATCTGGGCTCAGTGCCGGCAAGAGCGATGTCTACTACTTCAGGTACCGCCCTGGGGGCGTGGAGGGGGCGGCAGGGTCGGGCCGGGGTCAAGGGTCGGGGACTGACCTGGGCCGGGGTTGTCCAGGGTACCTGGAGATGTGACAAAGACAGGGCCTGGTAGTTGAAGGTGTCTGAGCCTTCGGTGAGTGAGCACAGTGCAGTGACAGGCAGTGTCTGAATGGTGGAGAGCCCAGAGGAGGGTGTCTTGTAAGTGGAAGGTGTTGGGGAGATGTGGTTTGCGAAGAAAGGGTTAATCCGGCAAGAATGGCTAGGCCACTGAAGGGTTAAAAGAAGGTGTAATTCAGCGAAACTGTAAAACCCAGTCACTGTTGGCTCCTGTCCCAGCCTGTCCCAGATTCATCATCACAAGGGTGTTTAATCATGCACATGTGGAAGAATGAAGCTATCTGCAGTAACTAGGTTTCAGTTACTTTGTGGAATCTAGGAAAGTTTCATATGAAGTAACCATTTGGAATGCCTGAAGTTCCTTGGAACTCTCTTGATGTTGCAGAGCTTCCACTCTTTTGAAAACTGACACTGTAGTAGTTATCAGACTTCTAGAGCAAAATTTGCCTCCCTGGGGACACTGGCAGGGTCCAGAGACCTTTTTTTGGTTGTCACATCTTGGAAAGGGGTGCTTCTAAATAAGGGGGTGCTGCTAAATATTCTGCTAAACAGCCACATAGCAAAGGAGATCTGGCTCAAAACATCAGCAGTGCCAAGGTTGAGAAATTTTGTTCTAAATGATTTAAGGTTTTTGGCTTGATGTGATCTTGCAGTCCTCTGGTCATGCTGTCCATTAGTGTGGATGACCCAGTAAACGCAAGAAAGTGTCTGTAGAATTGATATTAGTGGAATTTTTGTTATCAGCAACTTAACTGATGTTTATAAACGACCATATTTATAGAAGAGGCTATAAACTTGTTGCATTCCATGACTTGGAAGGTCATGTTTGTCCTTTTTGAAGCATTTTTCAGGAAATGTAGTTGAGCCAGTTGTCAGCCATTCAGCCATTGAAATAATTTTGTGCAGGACTTTCTTTTGTTGTGTGACAACTATTACATTATACACTATACATTACACCTGAGAAAAGGGTTATGAACTAAGAACTCTTTCGAATAGATTTAAAAGATTTTGTGACACGTGTATGTGCACATATATTTGTACATATAGAGATACAGAGATAAAAGTACATATGTACCCACAAGAAAATGGTTGATGCTAATATAACGTGCAGATATGAACATATTCCTGAAGTTTGACCAAATGTATGGATGAGTAGTTGTAGTAAATTTACTTCAGCTCTGCGAGTAAAGAAATAAAAGTGACGTTGCATTAGACTTTATTTTGTCTCTTGATTTGAGATCAAATGATAAAATGGAAAACTTACTCTAAACTACAGAGGCAATTATTTTGTGTTTTCCCATCACCTACTATATTTACTTTAATAGAGTTAAGAAAGTTACTGTGAGCTGAATGGTAACACCATTCATGTTCTCTTGTTTCATTTAGTACTATTCATAGTTGTTCATTTTTGCATAGTTCATTTTGTTTTCTTTCTGAGCAGGTAGTATGCATAACCTTTTTGTGAGCTATGTAGAAGCAAATTATATTTGACAAGAATATTCTGTGTCTGGGATTTGAACTCATTGAGGAATGAATGACTAATCTATTCTCAGTAGAAGGTCTTAAACTTTGCATTTCACTCCCTCTGACATTTCTCCTGGGAAAATGGTTTGTTTGGTTTTGGGATGATGTATTTGTTCAAACTGGCTTTGGTAACTGCAAAGCTTTTTTGTTGTTTTCTTGTAGTAACTGGAAAAAATACTTCAAAAAGGCATATTGCAGAAGTGGACATCTGATTTGTGGTCACATCATATTCTTTGAATGTGTTCATTTTTCACTGTTTCCTTTTTATACCAAGTCAGTAAATACTTAGTGGTGGAAAACTGATACAATCATAGAAAACAAACTTTCTGAACACATTGATCTTAAAGTGAATCACAAATGAAAATGGTACTGATTAGCTCTAAAATGAAAGTCTTTATGAGATACCGCAACATGATTTGCCTTTTACTTATGCAAAATGGAATTGACACTTTGAATAGATTTTTGTTGCGTATGTTTAGTTGAGGGTCAGAAGGATTGTTGTGTATTGCTTATATTCCACCTATGAAATGTTAGTTACTAGGCAGGATTGTTACTCTCAGTCTTGATTTATTCTGAGAGGTTAGGACATGTATTGTAGCATGTCATATTTGTGACACAGCAATTACTCTACTTTGGCTCTATTTTCATGATTAATTGATGGAGGTCACTTCTTCAGAGTAAAGGAGAAACAATTTTTTGTTTGTCTACAATGTCACTTTTACATTTGGGCTTTTCTGTATACACTGTTAAAAAACCAGTAGCTCACAAAACATACGCCCTAACGTGAATAAGGTGGGTTAAGAGTTAACTAACCTTTGGTAATGTGAACACCTGCACCCAGTTGTTCACACAGATTCTAAAAAGCTAACTCCTGAATGCTAACTTCAGTCTGCCCCTAGGGAGATTAATTTACATAAATCTATGCTTCTTAACATTAGGTGTGGCTGACACTTATTAATTGGACAGAAATTAAACTCATCGAGAAAATCTCAAATTTTGGTAGAATGCTTTTTGGCTCTCCCCCAAGACTGCCAAGTTGTAATCGAAGGCGTGCCTTCATTGCCAGTTAAGCAATATAATTATGCCTTCTGTCAGGATTACTGATAGTATTGTGGCAGTTCATGCATTATCATCCAAAATGTGTTTTTTAAGTGGGTGTGGTTTGATAAAGTGTTGGATCCATTGGTATGGTTTCTGAAAAAGTTTATTGCCATCATTTGAAGCTATTTGAATGATAAATTTCTAATTGGTATACTTCTGTCATTTATAGTTTTTGGTTCACAGCATTTGCAGATTAAGTTTTTCCTCTATATAGGAACCTGTAGTAGCTGCCTTTTTTTTTTTTTTTTTTTTTTTCTAAATCAGGCTCAAACAATTGGCTTCTAGACTTTTGGTCATAAGTGGGTGAATGACCTGGGAGACATAGTAAACTATTTCAGCTGTTGCCCTAAGCCATCTGCTTGGATAGTGAAAACACAATAGTGAACACTTTGGTTCACCAAAAACTTGATGTATTTGCACATGAGCAGTCTCTGAAGAAAATACAGTGGAACTAGAAAATAATTAAAATAATCACAGGTGTGTGAAGAGAGGCTAGGAAGATTTCACCTTGATCTGGACAGAAGAGGACTCAAGGCAGTATAATTGAGGTCTATAAAAGTTGGAGTCTTTTGGGAAGGCAGCAGGGTACAGGGGTTGAGAGGTCTGGAGCTGGTTTTACAATGCACTTGCCATGGGTGTCACCTTGTGTATGTCACTTAAAACTTCTGTGCTGGAGTTTTCACATCTGTAAAATGGGTGTGATTATATGAAGTACCTGTACCTTATAGTAATATAAGGATTCAGATCCAGAATACTGAAGTGTAATTTAGATTGCTTAAAGCTTGAGATACACTTAAGAGCTAAGAAAGCAATTTTTTAATAATTCAAGTTATGAAATACAACAAACACATCATAGGTCTGAAAATTGTGTGTATTCCACATACACTGTGAATATACGCAAAACCACTCAGTTGTATATTTTAAAAGTGGATTTTATGGTATGTGATTTTATCTAAATACTAATACAAATAAAGAAGCAAGTCTTTCAGTTTCAATTGGGTACCTGGTAATTAAAGTCTCCATTAAGTTTTACCTCACATGCAACAGGAAGTGAATTAGGCTCCAGTTCTTTATTTACATAATTTTTTAAGTTGAGATATAATTGGCATATAACATTAGCTTCAGGTGTAAATATGTTGAAGTTTTCCTTACTTTCAGTAAACTGTCCTTCTACGTACTACTTTCTTCCTGTAGTCCCTGTGTAGTTAAATCTGGTGTCCTCTGTATTCTTAAGTTCATTTCTGTTATATCTGTGTCTTTCTTAGGCAGCTGTCTTCTTTCCCCTAGGCACAGTGCTGAACACACATCTGTTGAGTAGTGTTTACCAATTTATATGACATTTAAAATATTATAAAACAAGTCTTAAATGACTTGTTAACCTCTGCTTTATATTACCTGTGGTGGTGTGCTGAGATGAAGTTGATTGAGATGTTTTGTTCAATCCAAACATTTTCAAGTTCCTAACTTTCATCATTTATGTTGAGAGTACTATATAGGATAGAAAGATTTTTTTCATTTTGTGTATTAAAGATTCAATGAAAATGATAAATAAGATGTTGATCGTGTACAAAGTATCATTTGATCTTCGCTAACTGTATAACAGGATAGAATATATAGTCTTATGTTCCTTAATTTATGTGTGCTCTGTGTGACAGGCTCATAATTTTGGCAGCTGTTAGTACTAGTTTGCTAAATGATTCATATGCAAGGTTACTGGAGCCTTATAAATCTATGAGGTATAGGTACGGCTACTTCCATTTCACAGATGTGGGGTTAGCACATGGAAGAACTGGAATTTTACTGCTCCACTGAGTTAGAATCCTGATGCTGGTGGTTTTCACCCTCTGCCTCCTAGCCACCCTGCTGCCTTATATAGAGATCATATTACAGCATTTTATGCCTAATCTACTTTATTGAGTTTGGAATGTCACTAAAATCGTGTAATTATATTTTTGCTATTATTTTTGCATCCTGAAGTCGACATTAGGTAAATTTTAAATCACTACTTGGTAGTTAGTGAAGCTTTGTACCAAAAGATAACTTTCCAACTCTATGTAAAATTGGTGGAAACAAATGGCAAAATTGGTAGATTAAAGCTGTTCTGCGTAATGGAAGTGACTGTTTTATTTGCGTGTGTGTGTGTGGGGGGGTTTAACCTAGAATTGACCTGTTATTTCTCAGACTGGCAACACACTCAGGAGGACAAGCTAATAGGTCTTCATTTTAAAAGCTTTCATTTCAATTAGAAGAA